TTTTTTTTTGAGACAGGGTTTCTCTGTAGCTTTGGAGCCTGTCCTGGAACTAGCTCTTGTAGACCAGGCTTGCCTTGAACTCACCGAGTGCTGGGATTAAAGGCATGCACCACCAAATTCAGCATTTTGATACTTTTCAGATAGCCAAAGGCCTGGTGGACTGGTATCGTATCTCGTGTAGTCAAAGCCAAGGACTGGAAAGATCTATTTAGAGTTCTTTTAAATTAGGTTAGGGGCTGGGGCTGTAGTTCAGCTGGTTGAGCACTTGCCTAAAAAGCATAGTCTTGGGTTCCACCCACAGCACTGGATAACCGAGCAAGGTGGTGTGTACCTGTAATCCTAGAATCTTTGAGGAGGAAGCAGGAGGGTCAGAAGTTCAAGGGCATCCTCGTCAACAAGGCAAGTTTAATATCAACTGGGGCTACATGTGACCTTGTCTTAAACACCCCCCCAAATAGAAATGATCTTAATGATAACACAGATATAAAACTAGTATCTTAAATTAGTTTAACTCAGGTAACCCGCCTAGGGTTTGTGTTCAATCTCATGTCTTCTTCATGTTGTGTGTGCCTCAGTCTTTTATTAGTAAGGATAAGTTTTGCTCACAAATGTGTAACCTAGATTTCCTTTAAATATCTTATTACTTTGCTTAAATAGATAACTAAGGTCATACTTAATCAAGTATTTGATAATTCCAAAACCAAATTCTAAAGTCGATTCTTCTAACTTCGATTAAAAGTTGGTTGACAAGGTGGGCAATGGTAGCACACACCTTTAATCCCAGCACTCAGGAGGCAGAGACAGGCGAATCTCTGTGAGTTTGAGGCCAGCCTGGTCTACAGAATGAGTTCCAGGACAAGCTCCAAAGTTACAGAGAAATCTTGTCTCAAAAACCAAACCAAACAAACAAACAAAAAAAGTTGCTTTAAACTTTTAAGTTTCCAGAAGGGGTCTTGTAGCCTCAGGATTTCTTTTTTCATAAAAGACAGCAATTAAACGAGGCTTATTTGATGTTAAGAGAAGCCTTGTCAAATACTAAGACACGAAACCTTCTTTAGGTTGTATTTGTTACAGGTGTTATATGAGCTGTAGAAAATTCCCGAAAATCTGGTATATCCAGGTGTCATCAGTCGTAATTCTATTATACTTAAACACGTGTTACAGCTCCTTAGCCTTGGCTTGATTTTCTTTCACAAATGTTTACTTTGATTCTTGGAGATAAAAAAGTATCAACTCAGTCTCCACCGACTTCTCCCAGGATGTTTACATTGCACAGGTGTCCCTACCCTCTCAGAATCACTGCCTTAATTTAATGCGTCTGGCTTAGGCTCACTGCTATTCCCAGGAAAGGAAATCTTTTCCCTTTCCTTGTGAAAGGTGAGGTATGTATCTTTCGCCTTCCTATTTTTCAGGAGTCTGTGTGTCACCAGGTACTCTGTGTTCGACAATTTCAGATGCTGTTGCTCAGGCAGGTGTCACTTTAAAAGAAAGGATCTCTCACCAATTAGACTAGGTAGATGGCTCACCCACCTCAAGAACCTCCAGCCCCAGCACTGAGACTAACAAGCACTGCCACATCTGGCTTTCATGGGGATCCCAAAGGTCAAGTTTTCAGGTCTTCGTGTCCGCAGGGTAAGCCTTTCTCAACTGGGCTATTCCTCAGCTCCAGGTAGACGGAATAACTTTGGTGACAGAGGGGGACTCCATGGTGGCAAGGTCTGTGGGAAGAACGGGCCTGGCTGCCTCATTGTGAGAAAAGTATGACTTTAGAAGCCATGGGGGCTTTCTGAAGAGGGAGTGACCCAAACCCACAGGTGCTGCCGGCAAAGACCATGGATGTAGCTGCCTGGCCTGAACACACTTTCAGAGTCTGACCTGAGATTCTGAGAACAAAGTTCCAATATCACACACAGGTGCCCGCCAGCACTGTCCTACTTTGTCTGAAATCATAGGAGGTTATTCCAGAAGCTGCAGGGCACCCAGCACCAGGCCCATCTGTTCTGAGGTTTTATCATCCGAGAACCAGAGTGGATCCCAACTTCTTTCCTTTATTCTGTAGCTTTGGAGCCTGTCCTGGAACTAGCTCTTGTAGACCAGGCTGGTCTCGAACTCACAGAGATCCGCCTGCCTCTGCCTCCCAAGTGCTGGGATTAAAGGTGTGTACCACCACCGCCGGCAGGATCACTCTTTATATGGCTATTCCCAACTGTTTTCTAACCGTTCTGCAGTCACTAAAACATTCACATCCCAGCTCTGCTGGCTGCAGCTGTACAACCTGACAGGACTTCAGTCTGAAGACCAGAAGCCTATGGGGAGGGAACTATGGGAAGATGGACAATGCTACACCCTGCCTGGAGCTGCTGGCTGTGTTCCAGCTCTGACAATGAGCAGCTGCAATCAGCATTGTCTGCACAGTTCAGCCTGAGTGGGCCACATTTCTGGTTCTGAGTCCATCAAAGGTGGGAAGCGCCTCCTCCTTCAGCTTGCTCAGGAGTAAGGGCAGCACCCCACAAGCCACCTGGACACCCCGAGGGCAGGCAGGAGGGAGGCTCAGCTGTCAGAGGCACAGGTCTCGGTTCCCTAGGCAGAAGGGTAAAGCAGCAGGAAGGCCTGTTGTGCCTACCCAAGACTCCTTACCCTGCTGGCTTAAGCCACCCTCCATGGTTCCTCAACCCTCTTACCCCGAGGCTAGACTACTTGTGGCTAAGGTCCTCTCTTGGTCTATGCCAGTATCCCCAACCTTGGGGAACAACCCACACAGCAAGTTCATCCACCAGGTTCCTTTGTAGGCATAGGGTCCCTCCAGCAGAGAGCCCCCAAACTCAGCCAGAGGCCCAGCCTCCCCTGGACTGTCTACCTAGTGGCTAACTGCTACCCTAGGCTCCAGATTCTTGGGCTAGGCCAATTTACGAGGACAGCTCACCGGGATATCACTGGGATAGGTCTCAAAGGAGCTGTCAGGAAGACCTGGGAGCAGTGCAGCAAGAGGAAAGGCTGGATTCAGAAATGTCTCAGACATACCATGGGGAGGATTGGCTGCTAGGAGTTTATTTTCTGCTTGGTGCAAGGCACAGTTACAGGATCAGGAAAGCTCAGTACTGTGTACCAACAGGGGTGCTTTCACTAGCTTCTGCTGGTGTCTGTTGCTTGCGCAACCTTCCTAGTTTACAGGGTGGGGTGGATGGGTGGGGCTTTGGCCTAGCACCACTGAAGTTGGGTTTGCTGTGGTTCTGCTAGGTCAGGACAGGACCCTCGTGTTGGCCTGGCCGGGATGGACGACTGGCTGCTGCTGCTTCAGGGTTTCTGGAGGCCTGGGGGGATTCTGCTGGGCTGCAGGGAGAGAATAAGTCAGTGAGTCAGAAGCTGGTTTTAACTGGGGCCAACCCCGCAACTTTATGAAGATGGACTCACTGCTCAGGAGACTCCAACACTGTGGTCATGAATGGGAGGGTGGACTTCCCAAAAAAGAAGCTGGCCCACCAGTGGCCAGGGTCGGCCTTGGGGAGACCTGAGAGGAGCAAAGGAGGGTCAGGATGTTGTCATCCCAGTGGGGTCCTGTCCCTCTCCACACTCCCCCCACCTCAGGATGTGAACTTTGTCCTTAAGCCGGCTGGTTCTGCACTCACCCGGGGGGTGGGGCACGGTGTCCCCGGGGTACTCTGCACTTCCGCAGGAGCTGCTGCTGGACGAGGAGCCCAGGCGTCCTGGGGAGGGGAGGCGGGTCAGCCACAAGGCCCTAGCCCAGCTCTGGGCGGGGCCGGCGAGGGGCTACTTACGCCGGTAGTAGTCATGGGTAGCCACGAGCGAGCCGCTAGAAGGGATGGCTGCCATCCTTCAGGACCCGCGCGCTGTGGAGACCTGAGCAAAACGTGGGCCTGGTCACCGCACAGCGGTCCTCCCGGCCCTGTTAGCCGCCGGGCTTCCAAGTGGTTCTAACCAGCCCGGACCGGTTGCACGGTGAGACAAAGGCGCTTTGTAAATGCCCGGCCCCTAGAAGGCGCGCGCCTCCCCCACCTCCGGCCGCCGCCTTCACCTCGGCGGCAACCCTTCCTCGCGGACCACGGCGCACGATCACGGGTGGTAATGCGTGGAGCACTAGGCCACGGAACCCATTTGCAGAAATACCCACGGGAGACCGCGACGCCACGAACCGCGCGCGATGCGCACGCGCGGACTTACTCGTCGGCCTGCACGGGCAACATATACGTCACGGGGGGTGGAGCGAGCGGCAAGGCCCCGCCTCTATCACGGGGGGGGGCATCCCTGAGATCTTTGAGCCCTAGAGACCTCTTTTATATCCGCCCTAGCACGATAGGGTCCGCCCTTCCCTATTAGATTCCACCCGTAGCCGAGCGAAGATCCGCCCCACCTTCTGCTACGCTAAGTTTTACAGGTTCCACCTTGGCCCAAACCGCTTTGATCAAACATCAGGGGTCTACCTTTATGCAAAGTCCAGCTCTGCTGCTTTTCACTTCCTTGTTCGGACTGGGGGCACCTGGTCCCAGATAGACGTGGTTAAAGAATCTCCTGCGGTTCCTGTGCCCGCAGTCTGTGCCACCCCGCGTTCGTGGCCTCACGTAGCCCAGTTTGTCTGGTGTTTTCTCCTTTACTTTTTGCTGTTCGCTGTTTACGCTGATCCCCGCAGGCTTTGTTTTCCAAGTGCCTCACTCCGACTCTTGGCTCAGTCCCTCTAACTCACCTAATTAAGCACAAGGGCGGCTGCCCCTGCGTGCGCGTCTGCGTCGCAATCTCAGTTTTCTGGTGCACTGCATAGTGTGCCTGGAGCCCCCAAGCGGCCCTTCAGGGACTAGCCGGCTCTAGGGAAGCTCAGGAGTCACCCCTGTCCCTTCCAAGTCGTGCTTCTCACTATCCACTGGTCCCAGACCTGTGTTCTGTTGCTTGGAAAGGAGGGATGGAAGATAAGGTGCAGATGAAGGCTTGGGGGCGGGGAGAGCTGTGAACAGAGGCAGTCTCTAGCATCTGGCAGATACTTGCACTATTGCTCTGTTGGTCAGAGGCCTCGTGTTTGTGGGAATCAAGTGCTTGGAGCTCTAAGGTTGACCAGCATATTCCGGCCTCCCTTCCCTCCCTGGGCAGTTTTCTGCCAGACCCCCATGGGGACTGGGAGGACCATGAGCCAGTTTTGTGCAGCAAGCTTCTCTTACAACAAAAGATGCTAGACTTGCCTTCACGTCGGGGTTCAGGAAAAGCCTAGACTCATAGGACCCAAGGGGTACTCTTGTGTCCCTGAGGTCTCGAGGAGGCTTTGACTGAGACCCTTTGCTTGGGTTTGTTGAGACCTCGTCTGTGCAAACACGGGACACCAGACAAGAAGCGACCCAGCAGGGGTGCTGGTTTAGAGGCAATAGGGAGAGGGGTAAGGTTTGAGTTTGAAGAACCAAAGTTCCTCCATTTTGTCCTCTGCTTCCATCTTGTGTCTTGTGTAAACTATTTCCTGTAAAACTCAGAAATGGCTAGGGGCAAAAGTAACAGGGTAGCCCTCTGGAAAGTACAGATAATGCAGAATATCCCCACCTGAAGGTCAACCAATAAGTAAACTTGACAAACAACAGAAGAGTTCTAAAATAAAATTTCTGAAAAGTCCCTAGATATGAGCCAATCAGGATTGAACCCGTCACCCCACACCCTGCTAATGTAACTTTTCTGGTTTTTACCTTTAAATAATGCCCTCTAGAAGGGCGGGGTACCTCCTCTTGCTGTGGTGCATCAGTTGCTTTGACGAGGTCCCTGCCGGCTTGTAAACGTGCCCACAGTAAGCATTGCTTTTGCATTTTTGGTGAGTCAGTCTCCCTGGTGGTCTTTTGGGGTCCTCACGGACTGGGGTATAATGAAAGAGAGGTGGGGGCAGTTGACATGGCAGCAGCTGAAGTCTGACCAGTCCAGGTGACACCAGAAGGGTTAGGCTTACTTCATGGCTTCAGGCTCTGTGACTTACCCTGGACAGCCCTGACCAAGTACATGGGCATCGCCTATGGTTAGTAGCTGTTTCTTATAGTGAAACATTTCCTCTGGAAAGGAAGTAAGGAATCTCTCAGGAAAACAAGGGAGCTGATGAGGGTGGGAAGGTGATGGTGGTGAAGACTTTTAATTCCAGCACTCAGGAGGCAAAGGAAGGCAGATCTCTGTGAGTTTGAGGCCAACCTGGTCTATAGAGTGAGTTCTGGGACAGCCAAGGATACACAAAATCTTGAAAAATCAAAACCAAGGGCTGGAGAGATGGCTTAGAGGTTAAGAGCACTGACTGTTCTTTCAGAGATCCTGAGTTCAATTCCCAGCAACTCTAAGGTGGCTCACAATCATCTCTAATGAGATCTGGTGCCCTCTTCTGGCATACAGACAGAACACTGTATACTTACTAAATAAATAAATAAATCTTTAAAAAACAAAGAATACAAGAGAACTGTTACAGGAACTCACGAGAGATTTACCGACTCTCTCCAGGTGCTATAAAGAGTAAACAGTTTCAGGGCTGGAGAGATGGCTCAGTGCTTAAGAACACTGACTGCTCTTCCAGAGGACCTGGGTTCAATTCCCAGCATCCACATGGCAGCTAGCAACTGTCTTGTTGTAAGTCTAAGATCTCACACCCTCACACATACATGCAAATAAAATAAAAATAAATTAAAAAAAAAAGAGTAAACAGTTTCTGGAGACAAGGAGCTGTTTCAGCAGAATTGCCTACAGGCTGGGAATTCAAGACTTGCAGCTTTCATGACTTGTCACCAGGCTGATGTGAGCTTTTGGTGATTGATGAAGCTGCCTGGGTCACTGACACTTTTTTAAATAACCAATCATCCATTTTAGTAGTTTATTTTCTCACTGGTATGACAAATTACCTGGCAAAAGTGACTCAAAGGAGCGTGTAGTCCATGGTGGGACATCACGGCAGCAGCGATGTTAGGCAGCTTGGTCACTTGGTGTCAGCAGTTGGGAAACAGAGAGAGAGAGACGCTCAGCTCACTCCCCTCTCCCACTTTTCCTTTGTTTATCCAAGAACCTGGAATGGTGCTGTCCACAGTTAGGGGATTCCTTCCTACCTCAGTTCCAGTCTAGAAACTCCCTCACAGACGTGCTCAAAGGTTTGTTTCCATGGTGATTAGAAATCCCCTCAAGTTAACAGTTACGATTAACCACCACACCCAAGCTTTTGTCAGTAATTCTTTTTTTTTAATTTCTTTATTTCTTTATTAATTAATTAAAGATTTCTGTCTCTTCCCCACCGCCGCCTCCCCTTTCCCTCCCCCTCCCCTAGTCAAGTCCCCCAAAGAGCAATCAGGGTTCCCTGCCCTGTGGGAAGTCCAAGGACCACCCACCTCCATCCAGGTCTAGTAAGGTGAGCATCCAAACTGCCTAGGCTTCCACGAAACCAATAGGTGCAGTAGGATCAAAAACCCATTGCCATTGTTCTTGGGGTCTCAGTAGTCCTCATTGTCCGCTATGTTCAGCGAGACCGGTTTTAACCCAGGCTTTTTCAGACCCAGGCCAGCTGGCCTTGGTGAGTTCCTGATAGGACATCCCCATTGTCTCAGTGTGTGGGTGCCCCTTGTCAGTAATTCTGATAAACTCACTGGTTCGTCCACAAGCTAGACTTGGAATTTTCTCTTTGATCTGTCATGGATGTCCTATCTGGGGTGAACGGATGCTTGTTCATGTCCCCCAGGAAAAGCCATGCAACATCTGTGTAGTGCAGGCCAAGGGCTAGAGAGACCAGGCTGAGGAAAGGGACTGCCAGGACCCAACTGCAAAGAACTTTGGAAGAAGGACTCAGACAACTTGTACAGACCTGAGACAGGGTCAGGGGTCGGGACTCACGCTGTTCATTTATCTGCCCTGATTTGAGGGATGGTGGTTACTCAGTAGGAACACAGATGGGTCAGATGGGGTTTAGGCAATACGCATAGTACTATCCCAGAGTAGGGCTGAGGTGGAGGACAGGCAGGGGTTAGGGTTTCTATGTGGGGAACAAGGCTTCCAGGTCTTCTGCTGAGGGTGACTGACTCTCTAACCTTGTGATCTGTTTCCAGGACTGGATTATCTCTCTACTCATCAAATGGGTCCTGATGTGTGCTGTGCACAACAGGAGGTCAGAATGCAGAGATGCAGAGAGGCATTCACCGAAGAAGCAGCTGCTGCCCTGCACAGATACGGGAAGGTCCTGAGACAGGCAGGAACTATGTATACCGGTCCATTAAGGAGGTTGGAGCCAGGTCCCACCTCCTGTTCACTGCACTCAGCGTGAGGTGCCTTGACTGCTTCCCACGGGAAACAGGATGTGTGTGGCTTGTGGTCACTGACAACTTCACAACCTGTGTTGTCCTGTCCTGTCTCCGAATCTGCTCAGTGGGCCTAGGTTGTGACCCACCTGGGGCCTTTCTGGATATCTTAGGGCTAGACAGTTTGGAGGTGCAGTCTTCTCCTGGGGTTGGACAGGTTAAGACTATAGAAGAGCTATGCCTGTTTCTCCGCTATAGGATCCTCTTGGGAGCAGAGTTTGTGGCCCAAGGTGTAGCTTGTGGGCCAGCGCCTGTGAAAGGAGAGAAAAGGGACTGTGAGAAATTCCCTCATTGGGCTAAGCTAGATGCCTCACTTGGATGGATGTGGCTGGGGAAGGCTTCATTGGGGAGACTGACAGTGGGGACCATCTGCAGATTATCCCCAGCTTGGCCTTAAGGCTGCTGTCTCTCCCAGGCCACCCTTGGCTGTGCTCTGGGCCTGCCTAATCATCTCACCTCATTCTCAGTCTCACCTGTCAGCACCTGTAGTAGAGTCTGAAGTGAGTCTCTTTCATCTGTCTGTCTCTATGCGAGTGTGTCTCTCCCTCTCCTTCCCCCACCCTCTCCCTCTGTTTCCCCTCCTTTCTTATCTAAGATGAAGTCTCACTCTGCTATCCCAGGCTGGCTCTAGACCTTTGGGCTTAAGTGATCCTCTTGCCTCAGCCTCGCAAGTGCAGAAGTCCCAGGCATGCACCACGGTGCCAACTTTGGGATATTCCTTATTTTTTCTTGTAACTATGGAATGCTTCATGAATTTGCATGGTATCCTTGTGCAGGGACCATGTTAATCTCTGTATTGTTCCAATTTTAACATATGTGTTGGCCAAAGGGAGTATGGGACATTCTTTCTTTAAAGTGGAAAAATACAACCTGGCAAGTACAGCTAGCTACTTTTCTTGCAAACTCAGTAACCTGAGTTAGGTCTTTGGAAGTCTCATAAAGGTGAATGGAGAGAATTGAATCTACGAAATTGTCTTTTGACCTTTACACATTCTAGTTTGTGTGGGGAAGGAACTGTAGGGCTTGGTCCTCAGCTACCCAGCCTCTGTGCAGCTTGCTATGACCTCAGGGTAGACACCTAGCCCTTTCTTATCTCCTCTGACGTGCCTAGTGAGGCCAGTTACATCACTGTCAAACTCCAGCTGCTGACCTGTCTCTGGGTCATGGTTCATCTTGGAAATCCAGGCTTAGGAGCCCTGAAGTGTGGCCTCTCCCTGGCTGCTTGATCTGGCCGGCAACTGACTTGCGATTTCACGTCTACTATGAATTACCACAGGCAGAGTGGATGCCAGCCAAGTAAAAAGGGTGAGGTCAGAGAAGACCCACCTTTCTCTGCTTGGTGAATTTTGGAGGCCTCAGCTTCTGCAAGGCTTAGGTACTAGGCCAGGATAGAGGAGAATGAAAGGATATGAATTTTGGTCTCTAGCTATGGGAAACAAGGGCAGAGAACTGTGTGTATGTGAGTCCACTGTTGGCTTGCTGCACAGAGGCTGGTTTGGTCCAGATTGCCGCTTGGATGCTGTCTTTGTACAGATGGCGCTGGTGGGCACGTATCTGATGGCCCAAGTGGATGATGACCAAGATTTCACACTTAGTGGAAAGGAAAGGTGTTCAGAGTCTGTGTTATAATGTCTACCTGCCATCCGCCACTCCTTGCTGTGGGATATTCCTTCTGTACACTGTAAGTAAGTATTACCCTCATTGGTTAATAATAAAACTGATTGTCCTAAAGCAAGGCAGGATAAAGTTAGGTGGGAAAATAAAACCGAGGACTCAGATGAAGAAAGGGGAGTCAGGAGAGGAGCCAACGAGCCCCCCAAGGAACAAAATACTAGAGGATAGGTAAAGCCACAAGTCACAAGTTCTGTTAATACAGAGATTAATAGAAATGGGTTAATTTAAATGTAAGAGCTAGTTAGTAATAAATCTGAGCTATTGGCCGAGCATCTTATGATTAATATAAGTTTCTGTGTGTTTATTTGGGACCAGGAGGTCAGGACAGAAAAGCTCTGCCAATGCTTACAACTCCTGAGCCTTATTCCTCTCTCACAGATAGGTGCATAGGATTGGCTACTCCTCAGCAATGGGAATGGAACCCATGTTTGCTACCTGTACACCACTCCAGCTGTAGGCATCTGAGGTAGAGGTGGGAGCTCTGCCAAAGACTGAGACAGGACCAGGGTCCTTGGGACTCCTTGGTCTACTCTTGGAGAATGCTGTTTTCACAGTGCCCCAGCCCCAACACCTTTGCCAATGGCAGGACCTGGTACCATCCAGATGATGTCACTACTGCAGAAGAAAATAAAATGACTAATGTTTAATAAAGCCTTAGAATATAGGTGGTAGTTTATGTGGCCAGAAACTTTCTATTCCCTTAACTTCCTTTTGATAAAATGCAAAAGTATCTTAGTTATAGGATGGACTATCTTGAGGTTAGGAAGTTTCCTATACATTCTAAGATCTGTGCCTGGCACATGGTATGTGTTCAGTAGAAGCTAGATTATAGACAGAATAATCACACAGAAACTATATTATTTACAGCACTGTTTGGCCAGTGGCTCAGACATATTCCTAGCTAGCTCTTCCATCTTAAATTAACCCACAGTTCTTGTCTCTGTTTAGCCACATGGCTTGGTAACTTTTCTCAGTGAGGCATTCTCATCTTGCTTCCTCTGCATCTGGCTGGTGACTGACTTTCTGCCTTTCCCCTTCCCAGAATTTTTTTAGTCTGGTTGCCCTGCCTATACATCCTGCCTGGCTACTGGCCAGTCAGCATTTTATTAAACCGATATGAGTGACAAATCTTTTCAGTGTATAAGAGCATTCTCCCACAGCACTAGATATTGGGTAGGGGAAGTAGCTCAGTGTAGGAGTGCTTGCCCAAGGCCCTGGATTCAATCTCTAGAAATACACACAAGCACACATACAGAGAGGTAGCATAGATTGTAAATCAGAGCACTCAGGAGGCTGAGGCAGGAGGATTAAAGGGTCAAGAAAACATAGTGAGATCCTGTCTTAAAGAACAAAACAAGGCAAATATGATATTGTCATGGTTCACAATGTTTTGTCTTTGTTTTTCATTTGCTGGCTAGGTGAAGTATGCAGGATAGTGCAGCTGTCCATCTCTGGGTTCCTCGCAGCTAAATAGAATCTGTCATGTAATAGTCCTTAAGTAGAGTAGAATACAGGCGACAACCACAGGTGCCACCCCCCTTACCGAACAGTGGCCAGGCCTGGGAAGTCAAATGCCTTTCACAAGTCACTGTCATCAACTGTTTGTGAGAAAAGGACCAGGCTCATGAGTAGCAGGTGGCAGGCAGGCATTTCAATACAAGCTTAGAGCCCTTCCGTTCTACCCATCCTTCTGGAACCTTAGGCTCGTCCACTTGGACCATGTGGATAACAGCGTAAAATAGAGTCAATACTAAAATCATAAAATTTAATGTGAAGCTCTATAACTTCCCTTCTGGATGCATTTTATTTTCTTATTTATCTTTTTTTAGTTTTTCTTCACTGTGTAGCCCTGGCTATCCTGGAACTTGCTCAGAAATCTACCTGCCTTTGCCACCAGTGCCCAGCCACCAAGTTTACTTTTAAACTGTATAGAAATTCAAGTAGACTTTGAGTCTTTATTCAAATAAAGATTGATTTGATGATTCAAATAAAGGTTGATTTTGATGTGTCATGCTTTAATTTATTTGCAAGGTTTTTCAGCAATAAAGTTTATAAAATAAAAAAAAATATTGCAGAGTTATAGTAAAGATTTTCAGGGGCTGAGGAGATGATGGCTCAGTGAATATAGTACTTGCAACATAAGCCTGAGGACCAGGGTTTGGATCTCTAGGACATTGTGGTACCCTGCCTGCAGGACATGGAAACAGTATCCTCAGAGCAAGCTGGCTAGCTACACTATTTTGAATGGGCAAACTCTGGTTTTAAGTGAGACACCCTGCTTCAAAACATAAGGTGGGAATGATAAAGGAAGACATGTACATCAACCTCTGAACTTGCAGATACAGCCATAACTAGCATGCACACACACACACACACACACCTGTACCCACACAATGCTACCATGTATTCAAATATGTGTGTGTGGTTTAGAGTTTTTATTGCGGTGAAGAGACACCATGACCATGGCAACTCAAGAGAGGGTTTCTCTGTGTAGCTTTGGAGCCTGTCATGGAGAACTCACTCTGTAGACCAGGCTGGCCTCAAACTCACAGTGATCCAGCTGCCTCTGTCTCCAGAGTGCTGAGATTAAAGGCGTGCGCCACCACAGTCCGGCCGATTTCATTTATTTATTTATTTATTTGGTCCCACAGCAACTCTCGTAAAGGAAAACATTTAATTGTAGTGGCTGGCTTACAGTTCAGAGGTTTAGTTCATTATCGTCATGGCAGGAAGCAGGGCACCATGCAGGCAGACATGGTGCTGGAGAAGGAGCTGAGAGTTCTTCCGTTTTGACTCACAGACAACAGGAAGTGTCTGAAACACTGGGTGTGGCCTAAGCATATATGAGACCTCAAAGCCCACCTCCACAGTGACACACTTCTTCCAACAAGGCCACACACACTCCAACAAAGTCATCTCTCCTAATAGTGCCACTCTCTTTGGGGGTATTTTCTTTCAAACCACCACAGTGTGTGCGCATATACACACATATCCATCCATACACACATACACCACATACACATATACTTACAAAAATTATTTCCAGTCTTTTTGGCTGTGAAATCCACAAACCATGATCCTGAAATACAGTGGTTAACCTGGGCAAGGCTGTCCCAAGCATCTACTTCAGTGTTCGAGATTCTTTCGTTTCTTTCTTCCTTCTTCTGAGACAGGATCTCATGTAGCCCAGGCTAGCCTCTAACTTGTTCTATAACCAAAGATGGCCTTGAATTCCTGTTCTTTCCACCTCCACTTCTGAGTGCTGGGGTTATGTGCCACCACATAGTCTAGTGCTCTGGATTTCAACCAAAGATGTTTATTCATCGAAAACGCCGAACGGCAGGATAAAATCTTTGGATTTTATTTTGCTAACTCAGCAGAAAAGAACCAGGAAAATGACTACACAGATGCTGGAATTATCTCACAAGGACTTTAAAACAATAATTGTAAAAAAATGCATCAACAAGCAACTCTGAACACTTGTAAAATAACAGAGAAGGGGTGAGGGCTGGATGATCAATGTCAGTTCATGACAAATGCTCTCCACAGGGAGCACCAGGAAGGAGCATCTTCATCTAGTAAGGACTGTGGATAAGGTTTTGCAGGTTGGGACTCTTCTCTCTTACCACAGTTATTCCATACCCACAAGAAGTCCTAGCCAGAAAAATAAAACAAGGAAACAAGAAGCATGCAGATTGTAAACGGAGGTGTGAAACTATCTCTATTAACAGGCAACGGATGTGATTCTTTTTGTAGAGGATCTCAAGGAATCTATGAAGGAGACAGTTGGACAAATTATATATATATACATATATATATACATATATATATATGAGGGCAGCAAATGTAAATCAACACACAGAAACCAATGTGCTTACAGCTACCAGAAGCATCTAGTTAGAAGCAGAAAAAAAAAAAAAAAAGAGGATATGTGTAGGTCAGAGGTCAACCTCAGGTGTCATTCTTCAGGACTTGTCCACTTTTTCCAAAAAGAGAAATGTTGGTCAAGCAGTGGTGGTGCACACCTTTAATCCCAGCACTTGGGGGCAGAGGCAGGCAGATCGCCGTGAATTTAAGGCCAGCCTGCAGCCTGCTCTACAGAGTGAGTTCTAGGACAGCCTGGGCAGTTACACAGAGAAACCCTGTCTTTAAAAGCCAAGAG